CAGACACCTTTCGGAGAAAGGGAGGGCGTCTCGGTTGGCTTGTACCTGTAAATCCGCGGAGGCCGCGACGAGAGGACCACGGCCGGCGCAAGGGGTGGACTTTGGCCCCGCGGAGCTCGCGTCCCTACGTCCCTTCGCTGTCGCGGCGGCGAGGGCCGGACCCACCAGGTGGCCGCGCGCGCTGCCGGCTGGTCGCCCGCGCACCTCTCCCCGCCTCGCAGGCCGGAACGCGCCCCGACACCCCGACCTGGGCGCGAGCGTCTGTGTGGGTGTTCGGGCCTGGCTGAAGCGGGCAGGAAAAGTTGTCCTACCGTCTCAGACTCGGGGAGCTCTTAGGTAAGTCTCCCAGGACACCTGGTGCGTGGGGTGACACTCATTAGTGGGGACGGAAGAGAAAGGCACGTGCGAGTCGGGGGCATCTGAGAGCGAAACCAGGGCGCGTGTTGCACAGGGACAAGTCGGGAGAGGCCTAACTGGCCAGGAGCCTCTCCAGACTGTGGAATCCCCCAGGAACTAGACCCATCTGTGTATTTGTTCAGCTTTCTAACCAACAGATTTAAACCACTTAATGGACAGCTGCTATCTGTCCTGCCCCTGTCCTCCTCCCCCGCCCCGCGTTCTCTCGCCACATGTTGAAATCAGTCAGTTTCTTATTTTGAGGATAATTCCTCGAGTCCTGTTGGCTCCCAGGTGGGCTGGCGGTCACGACGGAGGTGAGCCAACCGGAACGGGTGAGTGCTCAGAGCCGGCGGGAGGGAGAAAGGCTGTGAAAGACTGTGGACGTGTGTAAGGTGTGCGCACATATCCAGTCATCATGGACTCCGAGGTGATTGAAGAGCTGCCTCGCCAAAGTGCCCTGCGTCTACCTAGAAGAATAATGAAGTAGTAGCAGGTGAGCCCAGGGAACAGAGTGACGCCCTGGTGTCAGTAGTGGAAGTGGGCATTTTCCAGCTGGAAGTATTTGGAGATTAACTTGTAGAAAACAGAAGTTTGCCTGGAAGGCACATCTTTGCACGCCCTTCTAACTTAACAAGTTTGGTTAGGCAGTAGTGGAGAGGGAAGGGTGTGTTTAGCAAGTCTATGTTAGAGGTCAAAACTGAAGGAAGGATGACTTTTCAGATATTTTCGTCTTCAGCTCTGCATCGTAGCATACCTTGGGAAATGTTTTATGTTGTCGGGGGGCCTGTTTATCTTTTCTGTCACCATGAGTTATGGATAAGTATATTCTCAGTGTACTGGAATTTTAAAATGCAGTGTGTGTTTAAGATTGCTATACACTTAGTTCACAATTTTGATTTGTATGTACATTAATAAAGTGGGTATAAAGTTATATATACTATGATCATTAGGGTCATAAAATTTTATTTCAGCTTTAGAGCTTTTAAAAGTCCTTCCCTCCTTCCCTCCCATCCATCATCCATCCATCCATCCACCCACCCATCCACCCATCCGTCCATTTTTCTTACTTAACTGGACCTATCTTCAGTAGTTGTTCAGTTCAGTACTTCCTTAAGAAACCCACTATTTCATTGTAATATAAAAATAAGTGAAAGAAATGTTTAATTGTTCTCCTTATTAACTTTTAAAGAGAAATCTAGAAACCTGATGATACATCCATGTAGATATGTGAGAGAGGACACTCAAGTTTAAAAGATCATCTGACAGTTCACTTTTAAGTACAAGACTGTTTAGGGAATAACTTTTAACATTCAATTTAAATATGAGTGCAACAAATACTTTCTTTTTTTAGACATAGATTGTTAAAATGTTACCATTACATTACAATGGATACTAAAGTAATCAAAGGAAAATATTTACAAATAATTATGAACTCTTTATAACTGTTTTTCAAAACTTCCCAACTTATTTTGGGATTTAAAGTGATAGAAATTCTAGAATTGAAAATTGTTTTTATAGAATTCATACTCTCAAATGGAAAGAGAACTTTAATTATGATATGAAACAATTTATTAATGGTTGTATCTGAGTAAACTGTCATGGAAGTGTTTTGTGTTTTTATTTTGCACTCATGATAATACAGCGGTTTTACTGAAAAAAAAACTTGTAATATTCTAGAAACCTAAAATAGAGGGAAACTGTTATATGTGGCACACCATAAAAATAAGAGAAAATGTAATCAGTAAATTTACAAATATCCTGTAATGGGAAACTATATTCCTTTTGTACAAACAACAATTCAAAAACACCAAGCTACTCCCTGTGCAGAGCTACTAGAATTATACTTTATGAAAAGAATATTTGAATATGTGAAAATAACTTCATTGTTTGATTGAGACTCTTAGGGCATGTAACTTTGTAATGAATATAGCCAGACATATTTACCAGACATTTTTATTTCAGGAGAAAATGTGAGGGATATGGAACTTAATTACATAAAATGATATTGTTTGTGATATTTTAAAAGATGTATAGCTGGCTGTGCCTTATCACCCTTCTATTTTTGTGTTGACAGTTTCATGTTCCATCAGCAATAATACTGATAGAAAACTGAATGATGAATGTGGTCATGTATTTTCTGCCTTCCTGAATTAAATCAGAAAGAGGCCATTGACTTATCACTAAGAAGTTCTCTTGACGTGATAGTTGTTAGACAAAATTTCAAATCACAGTTGAATGCAGAAATAGTATCAATTCCATCACAATCACTAACTACTAATTCTTGGCACACGTAGATTTTTTTTCTTTAACTTCGTGATAGGTGGTAGTACTCCTAGTTATAAATGAATGGATCCCAAGTATTCTAACGAGTGCCCATATTCATACTACCTTTTGATAAAAGAAAGCCTATTCCTTAAACTAGGCCCAATGAGATCTTAAGATTTGCACAGATTTTCAAAGAAACCTTATTTATATTGCCCTTAATTCATAGGATTCTAACAAACAAACGTGATCAAATCCAACCCAGAAAGATTGTTGTTTATATTCTTAAGGCTGCTGAAAAAGTAATCCAGGTGTTTGAAACTTTCTTTAAGCATTTCAGTGTTCAAGGTCTGCAGACAATCGAATGCCTAATTCCAATTTCATAGCCATAGTTTACTTTAGCTCCATTCCTTCTTTAGATGACATAAATATTTTCTTAGGTCCACCTGTTTATCTCAACACACTTGGACGCCAGTCCTATCACTTCCATAGTCTTTATTAAGTAAAATGATTGAAGTTCATTGGCCTTTTTTTCATGAGGCTTAGGTCATTATCATTGCTTTCTCATGGTGTTGTTCCAAACTTTTAGCATCTTCATTTGTTTTTTAGAACCTCCAAATGGACCACACAGCTCTTGTTTTTTTTATTTTTTAAAATACCTTAACTAAGTATAAGTAGGAGGGTTGTCTAACAAGATCACTACTTTTTTTTTAAGCCCAGCATTGATTATGTAAAATTCATTAGTATGGAATTACATAAATACTCATACTGTAGAATATTCTTTCCTGTAGAATTTGTTTCTTGTAGGTATTCTTACCTATTAAAATAAATTGATACTTCCAATTGCTTATTTACCTCTGCCTTGTCATTATGGCTGATGTGTTTTTGTATATACTCTGGCTCTGCACAGTGTATTTATCCATCCCCTGTCCCAAATTTTCTGGACAAATAAAAACAATTTAAAAAGAGAGTAACTTTGGTGAAATGTAAAAGACATGTTATGATTAAGAGGTTAATATTAGAATTTTGAATTGCTAGAGAGTGGTCTTTAAAGAAGATTGAGATTTATTATGTTCCAACATTATTACTGTTAAAAAAGTAAAACCATGTATGTGGTGACTTATTTCCAATGGTAGTATTCATTAAAACTAGTTTTTTTTTCTCTAAAAAGATGCTTTGTTAATTTATTATCTCCTCAAATGTGGTATTATTAAATGTTGGCCTAATTATTTTTAGGAGCATAATCTCAATGTCATAACTGGAGTGACTAGGGATTTGTGTTTATCTATACAGATTTTTGCCTAGCAGCCAAATTACCAGAGTATATCTGTGCTCTACAGTGAGGTATACTGGCACCACCCTGTTTCATTTAAAAAGCAACATTATATTTTAATAATTTGCAACTTATGATTCACTTTGAATCCTAATAAATTTTCATTATGTAATTGTGAACTTTGTTTACGCCTCTAAATTGACTTGTATTTGTTTATTTTTTCAACTTGCTTTCCATGAACAATTTGAATTCTAAAATTCCCTCAGTTTATGTAATGTTATCTAAAATTTTATTTGAAATTCCTTTTCTCCAAGAACTATCTATGGGGGCTTAGGTTCAACCTTTTGAATTAATTGATAATTGAAATATGTGTCCTCGGACCTATACTGTACTGACTGAATAACCTTCTCAATCAGTTGTACAGTTCTCTCTTCCTATAATCCAACAGAGATCTCTAGAACACACCTTCCCATTATATTGATAAACATATCATAAGGATCTGACATCTTCATTCCTTTCTGTTGTGGCAGATTATTTTCATTAGCAAGGGAGAATAAAATTTAAATGTTGAAAAAGCATACTACTGTGAAGCAAATGAATCCCAGAGGTTTAAAAACTCTCAGCATTTTTAGTTTATTAATGCTTCTCAATTTCTTTCAATTTCTACCTTTGAAGGCTTAAAATATACTGTTGATAATGAAAATATGCTAAAGATAATGTTGATCTAAAATTTATTTAAGTTTTAGTGTTTCTTTTCAAAGATTTTCTAACATAAGTAAAAAAGATTATACCATAAGAATATCATAACTTTTTTTAACAGGTAAGGAAAATTAACTTTGAATTCCTCAAATAAAGGATGCTATGAAAAAGAACAAAGTTTTTCTGGTGTTCATTTATTTCTTTCCTTCTCAACTTTTATGATGGCATTTTCTGTGAAAGTGTTTTGTATCATTTTAGTATTGTATCATTTTGGTACGTATGTACAACCGCAACCATCATTTTGTAACTTTTTCTCAATTTAAGAAAAAAACTTTCTAAAAATGTATTTTAGGGGGTGAAAAAAAATCAGTGGTAGACATATTTCGGAGAAAGCATTTACGAAATTTTTCACTGACAGTGAGGAGAAACTTACAGTACATAATCCAAATATCTTAACATCGTAACATATGTAGACTGTCATGAAATCATCTCATTAAAAAAAGATCCCCCACATCCTTAGGAACTATTCCTCATCATTACTTCACCCACATTTGCGCTCCAGGATTTTGTGGCTCTACATCTGTATGCCTGAAGCTAACGTCCCCTTCCCCTTTGTCTTCAGTCTTTCCCTTTCTCGCTCTGCCTTTAGTTGAGCTAAATGTCCCCTATCCGCCAAATCTTGTTTTATATCTAGTCGGCACCACCGCTGCTACCAGTCTACTCAGAACGATCCCCATCTCCTGCCTGAATTGTTGCAAGAGCTACTTAGTCCATCCCCCTTCTTCCTCAAGGCACCTGTTTATTCTCCGCACGGCAGAGTGATCTTTTAAAAATATGCCTGATTATGTCACTGTTTTGTATAAACTTTCCAACAGCTTCTTATGTCTTTCAGAATAAAAGACAAGTTACATAAGTTCGTATTATTTGACCCCAGGTACCTGTCTGACTATTTCCTAGCAGTTTCCTCTCACTCAGTCAACTCAGCACACTGGCTTCCTGGATAGTCCTCAGAACACAAGCTGGATCCCAGCTCAGGGTTTCATGCTCTGTTCTCTCTGGAATGCTCTGCTCTTAGGTAGCTTCACTAGCTTCTGGTCTCTGCTCCAATGTATCTGTACTAGATAGAGAAGCCTTCTCTGATGGTCCTCTGTAAAGTAAGTCCTCACTGAGCATGCTCTGTCGCTTTTACTATACATGATTTTTCTCTATCACACTATCATCAACTGGCATCAAAAAACGTCGTTTATTTATCATCTGTT